CCATAAGGGAAATGTCAGTAGTAGTATGGAAAACCTTAAGCGACTGCATAACAATAACATGCAGTGCCAACGAGTGAACCACATTCCAGCACTGAAGGAGTCAGTTAGTAAGCTTATCAGGATTTATATTTATTTAATAAACGTTTTCAAATGACCGCCATCAAGCTTCGACCATGTGCAACTTTTACTAGCAGAAACTATTTGGCTGATACTTTGGTAATCCCGCTTAGCAAAGCTCAAGTGTCGTGTGTTATATGCAGGATCTCATAAAGTATTCGAACCCACGCAGAAGGGGGAGGCTTTAGTACAGCCAACGCTCTAACCACCTGAGCTACGAGGCTCCGACGGAAGACGCGAGTTCAATCACATTTGGGTCAAGTTACCCTCCCAACCTACTGCAACGTCCGAGATCTACCAAATCTTATGCAGAAAGTTGACTGCCCAAGCAGAATTTCCTCAGTAATTCACCTAGAATCCACCAGATGACTACCAGGCTCACGTAGTTCATAAATATTTTGGCAGATTTTGAATAATTCATATTGACCCAACTGTGAAAAACTCAGTGCCTCGGTGGGACTCGAACCCACACAGTAAGGAGAAGGCTTTAGTACAGCAGAGGTGCCGAGTTTTTCACAGTTGGGTCAGTATGAATTATTCGAAATCTGTCAAAATATCGATAAAAAGGAAAAACGATTACAATTATAGTTAGAACACAGCTAAAAGGCATTTCGATGTTTGCAAACTTTTTGAATTTCATAAGCTTCTGTAAGCAAAAGTTCGGAAATTAGAATATGTCGAGAGGATTACCGGTATAAAATTCATCCATTCCATCACTCAATCGGAGGGAGAACGCGGGTCAGCGAAGAGAAATACCAGTGTGTCTCGTTAGTTCGTCCGTCGTAAGCAATGGGGACCTCTGCGATCCTGGATCGAGGAAGTACTAACTTGGAATAAATTTGCTCACAGCGAAGTGGACTTGTCAGACATCTACCTAGCTCTCTTTTTTATGCCCTACCTTCCAGTGACATGGTACAAAAAGGGCGACCAGAGGTGGGCCTACTTTGAGCACATGGAAACGCCGAACCGCCCGTTTCTGCGTGTCAGACGCGATATGGCACTTGATTCCACAATAATCAGGTTTCAGTGAGGTGCCTCAGGTCTCACATAAGTGTTATTAAGAAAAAGCTCTCGGATCCTGATCGTCTTTAAGTAAGACAGTGACGTCACTCCAGTTGTCATACGTTGAGGAGCAGCGGGTTTATTATATAGAGGAACGAGCTAATTTGACATAAAGAACGATAATCCAGCTGCGGATTTACCATCATCTTCCTGCTCCACGAATCGATGCTTTGTTCCGTCCTGCTGACCGACTGATTAGAAGATATGACTCAGTGAAGAATGTGACATAGGCCTTTCTTTGCGCAAACCCTCACTCGCTATTCAATTACTGCACATGGTCCAATCTCAGGAAGACGACTTATTTATATGTGGCCTATCGTCCATCCTAATGGTACTCAAAACTTGTCATGCATTGCATGCACGATGAGTGGTACTTGACTACCATCCGTGCGGACGTGAGCAAACAGGCCCATGATGACCTATGTGTGCCTGTGTGTGCACGAAGAGCAAAACGGCACCAGGGATAACTGGCCATTGGCTGCGTCCTGACACTGACAGTTCAGCCGCATTTCAATATATTCTGGTCTAGTTGACCAGGGTGACTCGTGAATTTAATAGGAGTTGGAGCCATTGGGACTGCACTACAGATGACGGGTTTACTTTAGATTTGGGGCCGTTCCCGGTTCGGCGGGTGTAAGAGTAGCAAACAAAAGTGAATCGGAAGTAGAACGTTGTGTTTCATTGAAAACTAGTGGGGAGCGTCTTTAGTAATGACGTTGGCAATGCGCTATGATATGAGTGGTGGAATAGCCGTGATAAAATTGAGGCAAATAAGAAAGTGTTCAAATAATCACGTTCAGGTATTGATACTGTTTAAAATTTCAGACATACTGATAAGGCTTAACACTCGGCTGACGCCCTGGTGTGCGTGACCCTGTGTTCTTTGCCCTCCGCTACTCGGCTGGCACCGAAAATTTAGGCAAAAGACTTTACGGTAGTATGTCAGGCCAGCCAATCATTTGGGAACTCATTCTAGGTGTCATGATCGTGCTGCAGGGGATCAACATATCGTCGCTTTTGTGTCCCTGGAATTCAAGCGCTGATAGCAATGTCATCGGAAAAAATACGTTTAGACAAACTCCCGGCAGCCATCGTTACAACGTGGTCGCTTCAGCATAGCACTGCGGCTTGGTGTGGCCGTTTTCCCAGGACATCAATGACAGGGATCCCGTCTTCCCATTTCACTTTCAATGTTTTATGGAGACAAATGATCCAAAGGGTTCAGTTTTCTCGTTTGCCCTAATACCCTATCGACATATTCACATAATTGAAAGGCTTGATCGGTTTTGTTTTTTGAAGTTTTTTGTGAGGGCGAATGCTATGGCGATGCCAGATTAAGCGCCGCAACATGCCAAAGCACTGTCTCCTCCTCCCCACCCTACCTGGATTCGGTGTCAAGACAGAGGCAAAAAACCGTAGGCGGGAAAGGTCGCAGGCTACTGGTGCGACCGGAGTCGTCCCTAGGTTTGCCGTTACACCCGGCTCGGATCCTATTAGGTGATGTCACAGAGTTTAAATTAAGAAGGGACTTTTACAGCCTGACTCTCAAACAATCAGTCGACAGCTCCACACAAACATGTACTGAGCAGACTGCAAAGTCCGAGTTATCTCGTCAATTGGCAACTTTACGAGTCACGCCGCCTAGCTCATCGTGCTAGTTTCAGGCTGGGATTACACAGGCAGCACTGAAGTGAGAGATGGCAATTGCGTGTTGGTCATACGTGTTGAAAGTTCTGATGAGGAGAGATGTGGTGGTACGGAACTGTTGTCAATGTTCTACCACAGGTTCTCATTGGGGCGCATGTAGCCTAATAGACAAATACGATGTATGCATGTGCGTGAATAGTATGGGCAGTTAATGCTGATTCAGTGGGTGTATGCTTGTGCATCTGGAACCGGCTTGTCAGTCTCTGTGTGATGGATTCACATCTGACCGATCAGATCGGCGCGTGATACAAATGTGCGGTGGCTGTGAAGGTAGGATAGGTTCGAGGCTGTAGAATCGCTTGGAGTGCTGAGGTTACTGGTCGTGTTCGTGTCGGTGGATGGCAAATTTTTAATGCTTGATATGGGATAGTGATTGGGTACGTAGAGTGTGTTTGGAATGTCGACATTGCCGTGAGTTCTGCATTCGTAGGTTCGCATTTGACTAAATAGACCCATGCAGTAAGTGAACGCGCGTGTACCGTGCGGGCTGTGGAGGCGGATGCGACGAGCCTACCCGTGCTCCGGACACGAGTGCAGCGGCTACAATGCGACGTATTCGAAGTTGGCCGACAGGCCTGATAGGTGGGGCGAATATGCAATCGTAATGAGGACAGGTTGAGGTCAAGTCTACATTGCCGGGGGATGGGAGCGCGGGTGGGGCAAGTAGTAGTTGACGGGACGTCGAATGTCGCTTAGTCGGTGGTAGCCGTGATCAATATAGAGTTTGGGACAGGAAGGAATGTACCAGTGTTCGAGGGCGGCATAGCATCCGGGGTGCGATCGTCGGTGATGGTGTGGCCATCGTCTTGGGGTTTAAGCCAGGGGTGACAGTGGAGGTGTTCGTGGATGCGGAAGTAGATGTTGCCGGTTTGTTGTTGCATAGCATCCGAAGGTGTCCGACGTGGCCGTCTCACGGGCGGAATGTGCATTGACAGAATGAGCATGTTGGAAGAGGTTGGCCGTTAATTTTGTGGGCCCAAGGCGTCCAAGACTTACGAGCCGCCCTTTCGACTTTGGCAGCAGCGATCTGGTTTGCATCGTAGATTGCTGCGTCTGTCCTCATTTCTCTTCTCTCGGCGGGTCCGTCCTGGGTGAGGCTCTCCCAGGTCTCCGGTTTGATATGCAATCGCGTCATCTTTGTTCTCACTTTCGGCGAGCACCGGTAGTTACATCTACATAGAAGAGTCTTTTGGCTATGCCGTATCGTCCACCCTCAGCAGGTGGTCGCTCCACCGCAGTTTTAATCGCCCCAACGTGGCGTGAATCCTAAGAATTATGGCTTTTCACATGACTTCCGTGTCCGGAATCCTGTCTTTTCATCTCAGCTTCAATAGTCTGTGGAGGCAACTGAGATGGGAGTGGTTGACCTTCCCGGCATGACTTGTGTAGACGGTCCAGGTCTCTACTCCATGCAGAAATGTCGTCAAGACGGCGGCCTCGTACATCTGCAGTTTGGTGTTTGGTTGAAGGACGTGGTGATTCCACACGGAGGCTCGCACGGCCGAATGCCTGGCTGGCTTTGGAGATCTGATAGGTAAACTCGTGGTCGACCCCGTGCTGTGCGATAGTCTTCTTCCTAGACAGACGAAATTGTCCACGATTTTAACTTCAGTCAGTATCAGTCAGTATATTTGGAGTAAACGACAGAAGCAGTGAAAACTCCATTTAGACGGTACAGATGTAAGGGAGCATAGTTAAATTGTAGAAATTTTGCTTGCAGTTTTAGTAAGGAGAATTCATAAATCTAATAATTAAACATAAATGCGAAAGGGCTATGGTATTCGCCAAATAATTGCGAAAAACTTTTTTCACCGCATTCGGACTGTGAAAATTTCCATATGGGCAATTGGCTGCCGCTGACATCGATTCCATGATTTCTGTATTCCCTATCAGATTACGTGTGGTGCATGAACACCGCTTTGTCCATGTTGATGATCAGGCCGAAGTTGGCGCATCCGGCGGCATACGCCTAGGTCGTGATCTTGAGCGTGCGGTCGTCGGCGAAGAGAAAGTCGTGGACGGTAGTCGCAGATAGTCGCGTGGGGGCGTGCGTGCTACTACTGTTGGGAAGATGTCCGTCAGTTCTGTAGGCGATGTGTATCGCGGGCCGCTCATCACGACAGGCGTCCAGCAGCATGGCAGAGGGTGGGAGCGAGTACACAGCCATACTTCACTCCCTTGTTCACTGCGGCTGCCTCGGAGATAGCGCCGTCGTCCGTGACGCGCGCCATCATCCCGCCGTGGAGCTGACATACCGTTTGCACGAATCGCTCGGGATGGCCGAACTTCTGCGTGATTTTCCACCGTCCCTTGAGATTCACTGCATCGAAGGCTTTCGTTACGTCCATGGGAGTGGTGTAGAGGGGGGTTCGCATTTCCTGGCACTTCTCCTGAAGGTGGCGAGCGGTAAATACCATGTCGGTTGTGCTCCGGCAAAAGTTCGTGGTCGAGGTGACTGTTAAGAAGGTTGAGAAGGTTGTTAAGAAGGTGAGCGAAGATGCTCCCGACGATGTTGAGACGCGAGATACTTCTGTGATTATGACAGCCTTGCCGGTTCCCTTTGTGCTTGCAAAGACGGACGACAGTCATGTTCTTGAAATCCTGAGGGACCCAAGCTTGTCGTCACACCTCCGGGAAAAGTGCCGGGAGGCGATCGATCAGTCGGTGGCCACCGTGCTTGTAAATTTCTGGTGGGAATGGATCGGAGCCTGGTACTTTCCCGCTGAATAGTTGTTCTACAACGCAGATGGTCTCTGGGTGGGAGGGGGAGATCCAGTTAGATGTCGATTTCCACTTGGAGGAGCCGGTCGATGGCGTCGGCGGAGATGGTTGATGCGTGATTAAAGACACTTCTGAAGTGTTCGGCCTAGCGCTTCAGAGCCTGCGACTTCACGGTTAGAAAGGTTGTTTGGTGGAAGCTGAGAAGGGCGCGGCTCTGTTGACTGTTCTGCGAGCCATCCCGGAGGGCGGTATTTCCTGCAACCGTTGCTGCCCAGGGCGGCATTATCGGCAGAAGGCTGCTTTGTCTGCTTTGGCTAGGCGGTCAATTTAGGCTCTATTTAGCCCGTTCCTTTCAATGAGTGAGTTGCCGATGGCTGCGTCTTTTCTGTCATACCAGCCCTTATGCTGACGACGTGCGCGTCCAATGACATTCAGGGTGGTCGGGTGACGGCGTCCCGCATTTGGCACCATCGAGTATGCATGGAGGCGTTTTCATCTGGGGTTTGTAGGTCTTCTGGTCGCTGAGCCATTGATTGCTGAGACGGAGACGGTGAGCAGGTATATTCAGCAAAACAGTCTTCTGATTGTCTGGTGGTAGCTTGTCTTGTGGCCACCTGCAAGGTTGCATTCGGTTCTTGACTTTGAAGACGACGAGACAGTGATCCACCCGGCCATCGGCGTCAGAGATCGCGTCGGTAACCAGCAGGTCCTGTCTATCTCGCCTCCGGATGAGAACATAGTCCAGCATCTGCCAGCGCTGAGATCTGGTGCGTATCCACGTTACCTCTCCCGCGTCGGAAGGCGGAAGAGGACGTTGGTCAGCAGAAGGCGATGTTTCTCGCAGGTTCGCAGAACAAAAAGACCGTTTTCGTTACAGCCGTCGAGACAATAGGGGACTCAGCATTCCCTCCCAGGCAGAGTGGTCTGTTCCGACGCGGGCTGTGATGTCGCCAAGGGCGACCAGCTTGCCCGCCTTCGGTAGAGTCGCCATGAGGGCGTGCAGGTGCTCGGAGAATTTGTTTTTTACCACATAAGAACTGGTCGTTGGGGGGCGGGGGAGGGGTTTACAGGTGCTGATAACGATGGTGAATGTGAATCCCTGAAGAGGAATGTGCAGGGTTGTTGGTCGATCATTAAAGCCCAGCGGCAGACGGGGCAGTCGTCCTACGATGTCGTTCTGAGTGACATAAGCGAAGCCTGAGTCGCGTTGGTCTGCCTTCGAGCGACAGCTCAAAAAAAGTCATAGCCGGCACCCACCTACTCCATTTGGTTTGTTCGGAGAGGTGGATCTCGTTGAAAGCAGCATTTCCCACCATATAACCCGCCAGTCCGCGAGCGACTAGTGCTGTCTTCAGTTCCAGACGGCTGCTCTTCAGATTGTCTGAAAGGGAACGAAAATTCCAGACTGCAAGTGTGAGCGGACTCATCCAAGCAACCTGTGGGGGGGGGGCGGAGGGGTAGGGGACGAGGGTGGTTGTTGATCATTGCCCGCGAATTTTGCATCCACGAGTCACGGTTACCTAGCAGATGGCGTGATTCCCAAGCATTTGTTTAGGGTACCTTTTCTAGTCCCTTCCCCGCTATGGGGTAAGTAATATTATTCCCATATAGAACTGCGTAGACGTTCCAGACGGCTGCCGAACTCCTCTAAGGGTCACGAACTGGTTTAATGGAGAGCGATCGAGTTAGCATGGGTCGCCTACACTATTGCATGTTGTCCTCTTCATGGGAATTTCGAAAGTTGGAGTAGGGGGGGGATGAGAAGGGAAGCCGAGTTACTGGGAGACATACAGCAGCGGATATCCTCAACCGGTTTAGCCCGCTGGTCGAGGCGGTTTTGGACTGTGGCCCCTAGACAGAACCTGGCTTCTGGGAGCCACATGTGAGCGTTGTGTGCCAGTTAAGGGAGGTTAGGCGTAGTTAACATCTGCACGAGGCAAATGATGGAGCCTTTTACAACCCTCACGTGGAACCCATAACTGGACACCCTCACATGCATTCGCGATAATTGCACGGGCACATTCCATGTACAGTCGTCAGATTCTCATCTTATTGCACGGTTGACACCAATTACTGCATACCATAGTCTTCTTCGTGCTAACAGTTAGTCTGAAGTTTGATCAACCGGGAGCAGATTTGTGCAGAATCTGTTGCATACCAACCCAGCTTTGGTGCTCACATCGCAATTGTCCGCGAATAAAAGGTCGTGCATTCTAGCTTGTGATTGGTTTATGTCCGTATACACCGGCTGTTGAATAACTTTCCACATTTTCAGTTGTTAAAGCTAGTTACGTACCGATCCTAAAGATGGAATTTCCTTCGTATGAAGAATAAGAGGAGGCTGAAGATGACAGAAACGAATTATGCCGTCGCAAGGGCTTCGGGAACTTATCCATCTCCTGTAACGGGCACCTACTTGTCACCGCTCAGTTTTTTCGCCACTTGTGCAAGCAGTCTCTGGCATCCAACTTTCAGCGCGATGTTGCGCAACCAGTCAAAGTTCGCGGCATCAAGAGCATTCGACAGGTCAAGAAAGCTGGTGCATAGGTTGGTCTTTAACAAGCAGAATTTTCCTTACCAACGGCAAGACGTAAGAAGCGTACTAATTATTTTACTGTGTTTCGTATACAATTAAGGAGTCGGTTTTTGCCGGGTTTGCCTTGTGCAGACAGCCAAAAAGAAATTCATTCAAAAAGGACATCCTGATGGGACTGAATTAGTATTGAATAATGTTTTAAAATAAACGGCACCACAACACCACCGGAGTAATTCTTTCTAATCGAAAGCACATTTCGGAATCTTTGTTAACATTTAAAAAAATGGACCAGGTGCCGTAGATGATAATTTGACAGCATGGTAAATAAAAAGCGGATGCGAAGTCTGGAAATGGGCATTGTCGGTGCCAGATGGGACAAGAGCAGTGCCATCACTTCGGAGCGTCTGGACGCACATGTCCTCGAAGAAAGAATTGGTTTCAAGATATCAGCGAAGTAGTTCGGCACCCCATACTTCCCATTACGCGGCCGACAGAGTTGCGAAATGACTAGTCCATTCGAAAGACAGAAGGCAACCGTGGACAGGCAAGAAGTAAGAAAGTGGGGTACGCTTTCGCGACTACTAGTCCACAGAAGAGTTTTTATCTAACCTACTTTAAATCATAACCAGTATTACGTTTTAGACTTATTTGGCGCTTTGTCAATTTGAGGCTGCCTGATGGTTTATATTTACGGTTCCAGATTTGAATTGCATAGACTGCGGCCTTTTTAGAACATTGATCTCTCGCTATATCGGTCTTCGTCCTTCACGGATTTAGTCTATCCCGGATTTTATATGCAAGCATCTCTAAGCGTATTTCATGGGTATTTCGCTGATTCGAGAAATTCTGCGGAAAAGAAGCCATTTTATGCATTAGCAACTCATTAAGAGTGCAACAGGCCAGACGTAGACAGCCGTTTTACGGTGCTTACTGATCCTCAGTGAGGGTCAAGCGCTTGCTTGATATGTTTGTATACCTCAATTCATATGGCCTATGACGTACTGATGATCGGTAACGACCGTGAAACAGCCGTCTGCGTCTGACCTGGCCTACTCTTACAGTAGGTGGGCGAACTCATGAAATGTCAATCGATGTTCCGAAATGCGTTTTCGTTTCAAAAAGATTACTTTAATAGGATTGTAAAAACCATCATCATGCAGCGTAATTCTATAATATTTCGGTTATCTTAGGATGCTGGCTCTTGAACGAACTTCTGTCTGACTGAATGCAAAAACAATACTCTGTAAAAAATGATTGTTTGTGAAGCATGTATTTTTCTCATTGATTTTTGATGATTTTAAAAATTAAATTATCTCTTCTTCCAGTTAAATACTTGAAAGAAGAATATAATTCGGTTTTAAAAAACGTTCCCAATTTCTGAATAATTTTGAACTCGACCTGCCGTTACACTTGCGGTCGGGGTTTCCAAAGTACAAGCCACATGTTTCCCTAGTACGGAAAACCATACATTTCTCTACATTATTAAGGGGGGACTATATAGGGTTCGTAAAAGTTAACAGTAGATTTGATCCATATTGTTTACTTTACGAGCCGCATTGGTAAACGCAGAGATATGACGTTTTATGAACGGCCATTTCACGGTATTAAAAAATCTCACAATTAGAAACTTTTTAAAACCGAAGCATACCCTTCTTTCGAGTATAAAATTGGAAGAAGACGTAGTTTTCTACAGGATGAGCAAACAAATAAATATTATTATGCATGTTTTCCATGAAATATAATTGAAATTTTAAAAACATCAAAAATCAATGAGAAAAATGCACGCTACATAAGTTGTCATTTTATAGAGTTTGGTTTTTGTATTCAGTCAGACAGAAGTTCGTTCAAAAGCCAGCATCCTGAGATAACCGAAATATTATACAATTACGCTGCATGATGGTGATTTTTACAACCCTATTAAGGTTATCTTTTCGAAACAAAAACGCATTTCGATATTTCGCATGAGTTAGCCCACCTACTGTAGTGAACTGTTTATGTGTGATACGTGTTATGTGTCCTGTGACACAAACTTCATTGTCGCCAGTAGCAAGCTGGCGGTTGGCCAGAATGGGATCGAGAGAGACCCTAACAGTGAAGGTCAAACGCTTACTTGACAGACCGTTCGATTTCTGGCAATGTTTCATCAGTTAGTTTGCCTGGTTGATTTTTACTTCATCGATTTTCACTTATCGCGGTAGTTCTGGATTCAACCCTGTGATCGAGGAGGAATCATTGTATTGCAAACAGCATCTCGCCTGTAATTGACAAATTACCTGGATTTCGCCCTCTGACTGACACGAATTTAAACACTTGCTGCCAGTTAGATGAAAGGTGAACCCGAGTTATCCTCACTAACCTTGATGACAGACGTCTATATTGATAATAAAAGTACGTGATTTGCACGCATGCAAGAGAAGGAGCCCGGTGTTTTTACAGTCGCTTTAGTTGCCTTTCGGTATAGGAGAGCAGTCAATCTTTCTGGCCTCGACAAAGTCTCGAGAGGAAGTGCAACTCATCATGGGACATGTCCTACAGGTTCTCATGGTCTGCCATTAAATGAAAAACAAACAGAGAGAGAGCTTTCTTACTACTCTACTCAAAATCATTGAAGCGACTTTGGACAGGCCTCTTACGTGGTATGAAAGTAGAACAATTTAACCGTTTGTGATTTCTTGGTACATATCTCAAACACAAGAGGACTCAACCAAGGGCTTCCGTCGGACGTAAACAAAAACAAGAGTTCTGACACCGAACACTTCTGTAAAGAAACACGAAAGAGATGAGGCGGCCAAGCAGCGGATGTAAGATGCAAAACATAAGTGAGATATCTACAGGTTAAATCGGTTGAATCCTATTTACAAATACCGGTCGGTCAGACATTTCCGATATTTCAGTAGACACGAAACCAAATTCCTTATGCAGTCCACTTAAAAGGAAGAATTTCAGCTGGCAAAACTCAGTCCAAATGAAAATTCAACGGTCCCTTGTAGGCAACCAGTATATGCCTAAGGTTACTATATACGAAACGCACACAGCAAGGAAAACATTACATTTACGAGTGTGCAAAACCCAGACTGACGATAAATATGGATAAGAGGGCATCCAATAGAAGCGAAGAGACGCGTCCCAGGAAGTAATCTTGAAGAAGGAGACACGATCGCCGGGACAAGAGCTTTATTAGCCTGATGTTTCGGATTCCTACTCGAATCCATCATCAGAGACACGGGTGGTTGCTGCACAAGGGGCTGCGGTATTTATAGGATGCCGCAGCCATGCTACCGCATACCTATGAACATTCACGGCTCCCCCCTTCACCCGGGATCGTCGCAGTTGGTGTAATCACTGCTCGATGGCCGACATTCGAGTCGATAATTGCTGCAATTTCATCACGTGCGTTGGATGTTGGCGTGATGATTGCTCGACCATCTGACGCACCGACCCCGGTGTTGGAAAAAGTGTTCACCTCGGCGCTCCCAGCATGGCTTGTTACTCCGCCTAGGCGAAGTTTTAGCACGCAGTATGGAGTGGGAAGATCGTTGCACTTGCTGATGGACTGGGGGCCAGTAAACCATGATTCCAGTAGCTCCCGGCTCACGCGGTTGTCACCTCTTGCGAGAATTTCGGCCTCATCGAATTTGAATGTGTGGCCGGCTCTCGTCGAATGAGCCGCAACTTGAGAGCTGGCGTCATTTCTGCGCACCGCTGCCGCGTGTTCGGCCATTCTCGTTCGGAGCTGTCTTCCGGTTTCTCCGACGTAGTTGCTTTGTCCACAACTGCACCAGATCCGATAAACGACTCCAGACGTTTCTAGCCGTGGCAGTGGGTCTTTCGGTTTCATGACCAGACGCCTGATGGTCGCCTCCGGTCTGTGTGCCACTCCAACCCCAAGTGGTGCGAGAAGGCGGCCGACAGCTTCCGAAACGTTCTTCACATACGGAAGTGTCCGCCAAGATTTGGTGTCCGTGCGGTTAGGCCTTTCGTCTCTTTTGCGTATGCACCGGTCGAAGAAGTTGCGCGGGTAGCCATTGGCCTTGAAGACCCGTCGGAGGTATTGTAGTTCGGCAATTTTGTCTTCCGGCTCACTGCAGTGCGTTTCGACACGCCGATAGAGCGTCCTTACACAACTGCGTTTGTGGCTGATTGGGTGGTTACTGTTGAAGTTCAGTACTTGCATCGTATTTGTAGCTTTCCTGAACACTTTGGTTTTTAATTCACCACAATCTTTGCGGCATACGAGGACATCCAGGAAGGCCAGCTGATTGTTCTCTTCCTCCTCAATCGTAAATTGAATGTCCGGGAAGACGGCGTTGAGATGTTCTTGGAATGTCAACACCTGATCCCGTTCGATGACGACGAAGGTATCATCCACATACCGGGCCCAGAATTTCGGTCTGTGGTGTTGGAAGACCAGCGATTCTAACCGTTGCAGGACCGCCTCGGCGATGAATCCCGAAATCGGCGAACCCATTGGTGTGCCCTTCACCTGTTCGTAGATTGTCCCGTTGAACGTGAAGTACGTCCTGAGACAGAGCTTCAGCAGCTGAAGGATTTGGGCGTGTCCAAGACGGTTCTCCGTTTCATCATATTTGCTTTGTAGTAGCAGCTCAATTGTCTCGATCGCCAGGTCCTGGGGAATAGAAGTAAAATGGATGTAACATAAAAAGATACCATGACCTCATTTGGATGGATGCTTACCCCTTTGAGTTTCTCCTGGAATTGTGCTGACGAAGAGACCGTGCTGTTTGACTCAGCGGTCAGGAACTTGAGACGCCGGTACAGCCACTTAGCCAGTCGGTACGTTGGAGTCCCTGTGAGTTCATGGGTGAGATCGGTACGAATCTGCTCCTGCGGAGGATAGCCTAGGCGGAGTAACAAGCCATGCTGGGAGCGCCGAGGTGAACACTTTTTCCAACACCGGGGTCGGTGCGTCAGATGGTCGAGCAATCATCACGCCAACATCCAACGCACGTGATGAAATTGCAGCAATTATCGACTCGAATGTCGGCCATCGAGCAGTGATTACACCAACTGCGACGATCCCGGGTGAAGGGGGGAGCCGTGAATGTTCATAGGTATGCGGTAGCATGGCTGCGGCATCCTATAAATACCGCAGCCCCTTGTGCAGCAACCACCCGTGTCTCTGATGATGGATTCGAGTAGGAATCCGAAACATCAGGCTAATAAAGCTCTTGTCCCGGCGATCGTGTCTCCTTCTTTAAGAGGGCATCTCCTTGTTGCTCGGTAGCAGCGTAATACTAAATGCAAACCTTCACAATCAGCAGTTATTATCTAACTCTCACGGACTATTTTCCTTCTACTGGGGACCTGGATTTTTAGGTGAACCACAATTAGCAACAATTCTAAACTCTTGTTTCCACAACTAGCAGGAATCCTGGTAGCCCTAAATTATGATGTAAAAGTCATATTCAGATTAGCAAAGTTGAGATATCCGAGTTGATTATTTGAATACGAAGACTGGCTCTCCGCAAGAGGTTTATTTAAGTGCTGACGTTTCAAAGATCTGGGTCGGCTCTTCATTGTCAAAGCGTAAAATGCACTTAATCGATCAGAAATGTAATTGAAAGTGGCAGTTGTGTTGGCCGGCCTCAGGCTGATCGATTTTTTTTCCTCTCGCTGTCTCTGCCTGTCGGGAGATGGTTGACGGGCGTTTTGCCTGTGTGCTTTGCGTGTCACCACTCCGTCGGGGGGAACTGATTGGACTTCAGTCGGGCGGTCGTTCTGGCGGTTCTTCTTCTTCCTCACGGAGAAAACTCAGCGTCGGGCTATCTCCGTGCGACCTTCTTAAGTCCGGTGTGGTTGTTTGGTCCTGAACTCTACGATTGTGATGACGTAGGACTTTGTAAGCTGCAGGAAGGTCCAGATGCCTATTGATATAGTGGGCATCGGAGAACCACGCCTCGAGAGTTAGCCGTTCTGTTTCTGTGTTGCCTCGGCCTAAGATGGTAGTCCTCTGGAGATCAAAAGTATGCCCCGTTTCCCCAACGTGTGTTGCTAGTTGAGAGTTAGGGTCTAACCTCCAAGTGGCCGATTTGTGTTCTTGTAGGCGAGTTTGCAACTTCCGCCCGGTTTCGCCCACATAGTTGCAGTCACTCTCATTGCAATTTATTTTGTAGATGACTGCTGAGGTTTCAGTGGGTGGCAATGGGTCCTTAGGTTGAATTGTTGCTTGTGGACTATGCCTACTCTGGTGGGTTGTAACGTAAGGAATGTCCCTCCAGACTTCGGGTTGCTGCTCATTTGGCCGTTGTCTGGGCGCCCAACGTCTGCTTCTCTAGATGAAATGCCTGGGATAACCATTGGCTGCAAATAGGTGCACAAGGTACAATCGTTCGGCCCTTTTATCTTCTGGTGTGCTGCAGTGTGTTTCGACTCTTTGGAATAGAGTGCGGACACAACTACGTTTGTGAGACAGAGGATGGTTTCTGTTGAAGTGTAGGATCTGTCTCGTGTCGGTGGATTTTCGGAATACTGTAGTTCGCAGCTGTCCAGTGGTACACCGGCGCACAAGTAAGTTATGGAAAGGCAGTTGGTTGTTTGTTTCTGCTTCCATCGTAAACTGGATATCCGGGTCAACCGAGTTCAGTAGTTCCTTTAGGTGTTCAGTGTCAGTTGTTTTGACAACGACGGTGTCATCGACATAGCGGGCCCAGAACTTTGGTTGATTCTTGGTGAACACCAAATGTTCTACCCGTTGAAGAACTACTTCAGTGATTAGGCCTGATATAGGGGAGCCCATAGGAGTGCCTTTTATTTTTTCGTACATTTGTCCGCCAAAGGTGAAATAGGTCTTGAGACAGTATCACAGAAGCTCGAGCAGATGCTCAGACTTCAGGGAGTTTGTCTCTCTCCTCATAACGTTCTGCCAGTTGTTGGTCCACCACGTTTATCGCTAGTTGCTGTGGAATGGAGGTGACCGATCGACTTCGTGCATTTTACGCTTTGACAATGAAGAGCCGACCCAGCTCTTTGAAACGTCATCACTTAAAGAAACCTCTTGCGGAGAGCCAGTCTTCGTCTTCAAAAAGTCATATTTTTAATTCTTATTAAGCTTTATTTTGCAAGTCCCTCTCAAAGGTGCCGTGAAAATGCAGATTGCCTTGTCTGGGTGAGCTGCCACGCCAGGTATCAAAATCCAAGGAATATTGACTGGCCTCTTCAAGCCCAAATTTCACGAGACCGGGTCCCAAAGTAGCTGGCCATATAACCCAATCCTACGTTAATTATTTAAAAGGGAACTTCTCCATACTCGCTAGGTTTCTTACATGACTATTGTGTACATTTCTTCAAATGGCGAATTCTTAGACCATATAGTCTGCAAATATTTCGCTGATTTCGACTTACGTGCCATTGCGACTGTGATTTTAAAATGGGCTCCAGGAGTATTTAATCTGTTTATTTGGTTTTTTGGAAATTTTCGTCTTTGCAAATATCGTAAACCACAGTAATTGATAAAAATGATTAAAAATCCCCTGGGAATTTCACAGTCTTGAAGGCCAGTACTGTCGCCTTAGATTTGGCTAGGATCCGTTTATGCACCACAATCGTGCTCCTTACCGTTTCCGTTAGTTTGCTTTGAAAATATATCCACACCCTGGAGTCCCCAACTAGTGTTTTTCAACTGATTCGCATAGGGCCTTCGACTGCGTCTGCATTCAAAGACAAGGCCAATGAAATAAAAGCTAAATGGAACTCGTAATACGTGCGACTCAAATGATGAAGGCAGCCATCGTGGATGGAGACAATTAACTTGTTCTGTTATTAACATCAAAATGTGGCTGAAGTTCGTCAGATGTAGCAACAAAATTTTGCATCCGTCTGCCAACCAATGGTGGTTAACTGCGTTCAGGGAGTGCAACAAGCAGTTTTTGGAGCGTATTGATCGGGTGATTTGCATGTTTGACGATTGTACCTTAATTACTATCTAGTCCTCTTATTTATCCTACTATGGATTCATTATGCGCGCAGGAAGAGGGTTGTATATAGCGACGGCGGTAAAGAAACAACATGACTGAGAAGAAGACAATACGATTGCTGAGCTAAGAAATGTACTTGCTTGATGCCTTAAATTCTCACTCGGACCTATCACCGAAGTCAATCCATGACTGGTAATGGAAGCCAAGCGATGCAGTCTTTACATAATAAAGCGGCCACGCAACCACTTACCTACAATAATCATCAGCCACCGTACTGAGATTGATGATAGCTTGTTCTTCCGCATTTACATCAGCGGTGTTGAATATTGGCATGATAATTACTCAGCGAACCGGCTCGCGGATACTGCCACTAAAAGCAGTATTCTCCCCGCGCAGTACACGCATGGTCAAATACTCAGCAATCTCTTCATTGAATACTGCACATAAAATTCTTGTTACAACGATTGCCCTTCTTCTTTACAGCTTCCCACTAGAGCTCATATTTAAGTTCGCATTTCTTGGTTGCTTTGTGGCCTAACCGAATCCTTGAGCTGTCTACCACTAGACCCGGAGATTGTTCGCTCTGCGTAGTTTAAATGGCAAGGCTAACTTAAATGGCCCCCTAAACAGGCCACGAGAACAAGAACTGTACGCACTACGGGCGGCTTTAAGTCAACTTCCTGTGAAATTATGGTTAAGTTGTGGATCAGGTTTAAAGTTAGATTTAAAGTTAATGGTAAGGTAAGTTGAGATCAAGTTTAGGGTCAAGATAAAGGCAGTGTTAGTGCAGAATTAAGGTTTAGGGTTAAAATTGAGGTAACAGTTTGGTTTAATATTAAGGTTGTTGTTGATGTTAGGACGCGGGAATATTTGACCTTTTCATAATTATGCGCGGACCCACCCTTATTACTTAGGCGGAACGTTCTCATTCCATATTTGTTTAGGTGGCCACATAGGTCAGTATTGCCGTTTAAATAACCAATGTTAACCCTCCCCTTTTGAAAGAACTGGTCGATTTTCCCCAATAAGGACAGGCTGATTTTAGAGCACATATGAAATTTTGATGCAGTAGTATTTTTTACCTGCCCGTTACAGCTTATTTGTTCGGTGACTGCAAGTTCATTTTTCCTAGATGCTGTCACCTAAAGAAAGGCGAGGCTGCTGTTTCCGAACTCAACAGCCCTAAATCAGTGTGGCGCGCATCAGCTATTTTGGCCCGTCTCGAGATCATTTACGCTTGCTCAATCTTTTATTCTACCACAAGGAGGCAGATAGAGCATCCATGTTCGGATTCTATCCACTACTACAGGGGAGAAAACATCCTAAATTGGAACCTTGCCAATCGGCGGAAATGATTATCATGGGGACCAAGGGTCGGTTTTCAGAGCGTCCCTGTTGGCGCGAAATTGTGCCAGTCCTCGTCACTCTGCGCTCTGGGCTAGTTTAGTTTGCTTCTGGGATATTGAGCGGGCCTCAGGTCTGGTACACGCGATTTGCGGCAGTTGTATGCTACGCTTGAAACCGCACCCGATTTCACCTCCAATAGACTTGACCCGGACTTGTAGCTTGCTCGTCGTGGGAAAGGGAACAGAGGTTTATGCTGATCTTGGGGGGTTTTTCTCCACCAGTTTGGTGCATTATTAATCCTTAAATTAGGATTTAAAACGGCTGGGTACAGTAAACCCTGAGAGAGAACCTAGCTGTGGTGGTCCATTAACACTGCTCTTAAATCCAGTTCACAAAAGAATAACCGTTTGTGTGGTCCATGTTTCAGTTCTAGCAAAGAAATAGACTGCTGCATGGCATGCGTGCGCGCAGACGGGTGCTCACTCAACTTCTGGGCAGAATTAAAGAAAAAAACATGGCGCGATTGATGCTGCTCAAGCGATGGACATTCGAAAGCAAGTTCATTAAAATGTTACCACTATTTAGGGAGTTATGATGTGCATGGCGGACATTCTTCTACGATCTCGCAGTCGTTGTTCCTCTGCGTACTACGCGCTAAAGCTTTAAATTATTGTTGATAAATAATCAAAGATAGCTTCCTTTACTTTTTTGCTTGGGGAGTTCATAGCCCTTATGGAAAAATTTTTTCTCATGCTTCTTTGTTTCTGAAGATACAGACATAAATTCGGCTATAACTTTTCATTTTCTAACGATTTAAGATGACAGGATATAAATGAACTTATAGTGCGCTAGGCACAGAGTATAACTAACCTTAATTTAATCCTCACTGAGGAGGTCACAAATAGAAAATCCATTAAGGTATGTAATAAAAAAACATGAATTAGGCATAATCTCAATTCAGTTAACTTTCAATGCCAGGTCATTGGTCAAACAGGGATTATCTCCGACACCTCTGACTATCTAATAGGGAGAATAAGGCAGTTGAAGAGGAATTCGTCTATATGAACATTTATTAACCTATATCCGGCGCAAGATTTACAATGCAGAAGTATCGCAAACCTGGACTTGCGGAAGGCGTATGTGAATGTTGCCTTAAAACAGTCATCATATTGTAAGTATCATAGTATATCATATGGGTTCGCGAGTTTCATCCGTTTGAGCTTTATTCTCATGCTCGTCCCTGCTACAATTTACGCAGAGATTCAAAGAAATGACTATCAAACTCTTTAGGGAACGTGCATATAATAGGTTAAGCAGAAATGAGAGAAGAAGTAACCTCGTGTCACAATGCCAAAATTACTTTACATAACATCCTGAAAATAAAAGACCTCATGTTAACAAATGCATGTTCTATAGAAGGCAAACGTCACTAACCGAATTATTTAGGTTAAAAAAATTTTTCTGTCCTCTCAAAACACTAAAGACCTGAAATGAAACTTATAATATTTGAAAAAAATTTTGAAGCGCAAAATGACCTTTGTGAGTGAGATCAATGCTGGCCGCTGGCTAGGCGTCCAGTGTAGTGACAGTTTTAAACTGATATGTCATTATTACAGTTAGATGATCGTTTTTATCTGTCACTTAATTATATGCTAGAGAATCTTTAGATGTTAGCCGTTGGCAAATAGCTCCTAGCTGCCGTGTCTCTTATCGTACTGCCCTTGCGCAGTGTTAATTTATCCGGATTAGACAGATATCTCGCTGCTGTTGATGCTAAGAAAATACCATTTTGCCGAGCCACCCAACGGATATAGACTT